TATAATCTGACCGTCTGTGGGAGGAAGTTTTCCTCCGCATCCCATTTATTGCTCTAAGTGACGCTTTGTGCATTGCTTGTCCTCATAGTGATAGGAGAAATGACATTGATGCTTGTTATGATATCACAGTGTCATGGTTATCCTCAGATGGAGAAGCCTGTTAGACCTCAGTCCTGCAGTTGTCTAGTCAGGGAAGCCACAACAGACCTTCCCCTGGATTGCGATTGAGACCCCTCTGTTATATAGCGCTTTTTGGGAATTAATTCAGAGTTCTGACATCGTCAGATGTTCTCTGGCCCATGACATCACAGAGCTCTGAAGTCCTCCTAAAATGAAGCTCCCATTAAGGAGATATGACATCACAGAGCCCTGAAGTCCATTAAGGAGATATGACATCACAGAGCCCTGAAGTCCATTAAGGAGATATGACATCAAAGAGCTCTGAAGTCCATTAAGGAGATATGTCACAATAGAGCCCTGAGGTCCTCCTAAAATGAAGCGCCCATTAATATCATAGAGCCCTGAAGTCCAATAAGGAGATATGACATCATAGAGCCCTGAAGTCCTCCTAAAATGAAGCATCTATTTAGGAGATATGACATCACAGAACCCTGAAGTCCATTAAGGAGATATGAAATCACAGAGCCCTGAAGTCCAATAAGGAGATATGACATCACAGAGCCCTGAAGTCCATGAAGGAGACATGACATCACAGAGCCCTGAAGTCCATGAAGGAGACATGACATCACAGAGCCCTGAAGTCCATGAAGGAGACATGACATCACAGAGCCCTGAAGTCCATGAAGGAGACATGACATCACAGAGCCCTGAAGTCCATGAAGGAGATATGACATCACAGAGCCCTGAAGTCCATGAAGGAGATATGACATCACAGAGCCCTGAAGTCCATGAAGGAGATATGACATCACAGAGTCCTGAAGTCCATGAAGGAGATATGACTTCACAGAGCCCTGAAGTCCATGAAGGAGATATGACATCACAGAGTCCTGAAGTCCATGAAGGAGATATGACATCACAGAGTCCTGATCTTATTTTCTGGGAACGTCCCCATATGTGGTCCATAAAGTCCCTTCCCGGTTCTCTAAGATCTTCATGTGCTTGTAGGTTCCTCGGCTCTGGACTTCTTGTCTTCCTCGTGGTTGTCACCTGCCCCAGACACAGGATTATCAGTGGTGGTCAGGCATGTGAATAGTATACATGGGTCATATATCACACACGTGACACTCACCGTGGCACTCACTGCAGCAGATTCTGTCCGGCTTTCTGCTGGCACCGCATTCGGGGTCGCTGCATTTCCATTTCTGTTTCTTACACTGGGGGACACCATCCTGGGGAGAGACACATGGAGGTCATAGCTTGTTCTGTAGAGTCGTATCCTTCTCCGACGTGTCCATGACGAGCTTCAGACAGGTAGGAAGGCCAACATTTCATCCATAAAACAAAAATCATGAAATTAAAATGTAAAATACCCACCTAAAGTACCCAAATCTATCCTTATATTAGCTTCCTGTAGATCTGTACAAAGCAGGAGACCGAGGGGCTGAGCTGTAAACTCGGCAGGCTCTACCTCATAACGCAGTGCAATCAGTCTGACACTGGGAGCCTGCTGACAGGAAGCGTGCAGGGATGTCCATTGTGTATACTGGAGGTAGATCAGTGACCGAGCTGTGTTACTTTATTGCAATGGAGAAAAATGTGGTCACCAACCCAGCTGTGCTGTCAGGGAGGGAGGAGAGAATTGTAGGACTGGCTGAACAGAATTAGAGTGTTTTTTAGGATCTGCAACCTTTGGACTTTTTGCTGACATGTCACCTTCCCTTTCTAACCTGTGGCCCTATTCTGCCTCTCATCATTCTTGAAGTGAACCTGTTATTATCCCTCCAGGTTCACCTAACTTCCACCTACCTGGACCCTCACTCCCCTGCCATCCTGTTCAGCCCCCAATAGAAAAGACCTTCCAGGTATGGGGGAGCATGTGACTTACTCCCATTACAGTCATGTGATAGTACTGGTGCTTGGTGATTGGTCACCCAACACTGCCACATGGGTGGGAGGAGCTCTCAGCACTGTGTGAGCTTCAACTCATGAACTTCCAGCTTATACAGGACTTCCTCTCCTTGAATGAATTGTCAGGGAAGCAAATCGAATCTAAGTCTGTACTGCTAGGGGAGCGGAAGTTACCCAACCCTATTGCTTTGTCCTATATGACAACATTCCTTTATGGTTGCCCATCCCCCCTCATTTCCTGCCATGTTCACTTACCTGACAGACGCAGGTCACGCACGGCACCGCGCCATGTCTGGGGACCGTCGGGTGCCAGCGCTCGTTGTTTGAATACAGGTGACCCATCACTTTGCACTGGCGCGGCTCATCGGACTGCATTGCGTCTGCCCCCTCGGCGGGTTTCTGCTCCTCCTCTGCATGGGAGAGGACAGGACATCAGTCTTATGAAGAGGAGACAGGAAATAATAATGGTTTGGGGGTCAATTTGTTTTTTTAAGTACAAGGCTTAAGGTGTTTTGTATTGTGTGCTCTACACGATCTTTGTTATTCAAATAAACATTAAACACACATGCCAAAGGATTCCCAGAGCACTGTGGGTTATCTAAGGAGACAGCACAGCAGTAGCTATCTTTAAGGCAGGCTGTCTCTGATTGAAATCTCAGGCAAAGCTGAAGGGAGGGGTGGGGCAGAGTCCCTCCTCTGACTCATTGACCTATGTATGTGTGCAGTTGTAGACAGAAAAAATAACACATTATGGCCACTAGATGGAGCTGAGGAGCACAGCAAACAAATACTTCTTTCCTTTGCTCCTGAGCGCCAACTTGTGGCCATAATGTGGTATTATCCTGATACTACATTCAGCCCAGAAAGAAAATATAACATTTTTGCCTCCATTCTCACAGGACAAACGTACACGCAGCTTCACAAGACAAACGGCTCTGCACATGTTTTATACACACACCCAGTAGATGTGCTACTTCCTATCACCTGGGCATTTCTTGCAGCAGTCCATGGGGTTGGTGCGGATCGGATTGGCGCAGGAAAGAGGTGGGCAGGACTGTCGCACACAGTGCAGGTCTTGTGAGGATGCCTAGTACAGAGAGGGAGAGATGGGTTGGGTCGGAATGAACTGGCGGGACATCCAAGGTAGAAGGAAGGTGAAAATCTTACTTTGCAGGAACAAGTTGCACATAAAACTAGACCAAAAGGTTCGATTCGCGGATGCCATCGTGTGCCAGCCGACCTCCATTCCCCATTGAAGTAACACCCTGCGGGGGGGGGGAGAGAGGACCGCGTATTGAGATACCAAATCATGGACAAGGATCAGGCAACATCGGAGTAACGTTCCCTACCATCACTGTTAGATCTTCGGTGGCTCCTCCCTTCCAGGATCTCTTTATTCTCTGAAATTGGAAAAATACATAAAGCACAATGTGGAGACAAAAGGACAAAACAGAGAACAGAGAGAAGATTCTATGCATGTTGTGATCAGGGCCGGATTTCCCACAAGGCCCTGATCACCCTGATAACCCTAAGGCCGGCCTCGGGGCAGCAGGGGTGTGGAATCCCTATCTCCCAGTTCCAGGCCCCAGGCAGGTAGATGTCTTCTACATTTTGGGCAAGCGGAGCTAAATGTACAGCGGGGAAGCCACCGCTTGTTTTGTACAAGTGATCTTGGTGATGTCGCCATGATCACTTGTTTGCAGCCTGCAGGTCTGCCATTCTACATGGGGGGTGGGGTGCATTGAGGAACCTGGCCTTGAGGCAGCAGAGAGAGTAAATCCGACCCTGGTTGTGATATATAGAAGAGGATCCAGCATGTTGCAGCCTTCCATCAGCTCTCACTGGTACCTGAATTATCTTTATTATAGTAAATGTCCTCTTCCCCATTGCCGATTGAGGGAGATAGCACGGGAAATTCAACACATATGGAGCATAAGGGTTATGCTGCCATCTACAGGAGGATACGTTTTGACTAACTAAAAAGGGACCAGCTCCCTCTAGTGGCAATACCCCATACCTGCTACGCATCCTCAGTTTAGCTTAGTGTAATGAAACACAGTTGGCAGGGTCATCCCTATTATGAGGCAGGATCAGGCGGCATCTCTTAGGGTCACCAGGAAGTGTGGGGCCCTTTGCAGCCAGAGTGTCCCATGTTGTTAAGAGCTCTAGCCAGTGTCCTGTCCAGCTCATGACAACCAGTCATGAACTGAGCGGGCAGGACGCCAGGCAGAGCAGGAGGCAACGGTAAGGCAACCTGGTCCACAACCCCCCCGAACATGCTAGCAAGCAATCCCCCCTATGGTAACATGCGTTGCACAAGTACTAGCAGCCCCTATAGCTGCATCAACTAATCCTGCAAGAGTTTACCCCCCTTTTTTTTTTTATTGCTGTTGGTTGTCCTTCCCCAACCCTCTTTTTTGGGCACTGCTTTTGGTCACCCCCTGTGTATTGAATATCCTCTGCTGTGTCACTCATTGAATGATGGGGAAAATAGGATTTTTTGCAATTTTAATTTTCTTGAAAAATCCTTTTCTCCAATTACCATTGAGGGACACGGCTCCCTCCCATCTTGGTGTTTTCTTAGTTGACTATTGCCCTAGATTTCTGTTTCATGTAGAGGCTGCATGGCAGGTAGAGTTATGGCCACTAGAGGGAGCTGGCCCTTTTTCATGTTTTTTTTTTTTTTTTTTTTTCTTCTGTGTTGT